TGCATGTATGCTGCATCTTTGTTTGGATCATGATTAAAATGCAGTGGTTGCTTCTAATTTTAAATGGAAAGAGCACAGACAAAGCCTTAGTTTGTTTATATGAAGAGATTTATTTTATTTGTGTAACTTATTTGATTTGATTTGGGGTTTGTTTTAAAATTTCAATTTAGTTTTGTTATATTTCAATTTCACAAAGAAACGTGCAGCAATAGCCTAATCAAAAGACACCTTTTCATTTACTGTATAATGTCTTCAATCTCATTTTGTTAAAAAAAAAAAATCGTGAGAAAATCAAAACGTGAAATCAAAATAGTGAATCGAATCGTGAGTTGAGTGAATCGTTACATCCCTATTTTTTAGGATGACAAAAAGGTTTCAAAGTGACCTTTTCCGCCTGGCCTGCTCAGCAGTCTAACAGCGCTTGTCAATGTCAAAAATAATTGAGATAGCCAATCAAATCAATGTAGGCGGGCTTTACTGTTCACAGAAGCAAAGCGCAATTTTCAGCACGAAACGTCAATTTAATGTTGAAAGAGAGTGAGGTAAGATGAAGTAGCAAATCATTTAATATTAGTCAACCGACAGCTATATCCAGAGATGCAAACTACTCAACTTTTCCCCTCAAATATGGCTATTTTGATTGATTGATTGAGAGAGAGAGAGATTGAAGTTGCATGTGTGATAGTTACCGGAGTCTGTGCATCTCTCTCTACAAACAATGAAGCTGTGAGTTTTACTTCAAAATCAGCTATTTTACCCCCTCATTGCTGAGAAATATAGTGTAGCAATTCAGGATTCAGTATAGCTGTTTTATTAATAAAAGTCAGCATTGACAGCAAGTTTCTGTGCGCAATCTCCGATCTCTGTGCATTAATTAAACCAGCTCATTAATATAGAATGGTGATTAAACTGACTTTAAACGGTTTTAATGCACACCTGCGCATATATTTATATATATATATATATATATATCATTATATATATATAAAATATTTGTGTGTGTGTGTGTGTGACTCGAGCACAAAAGCAGTCATAAGCAGCACAGGTATATTTGTAGCAATAGCCAACAATATTGTTAAATATTTTCTCAATATTTAACTAAAAATGCTTCTTCTACACTCTTAAAAATAAAGGCCCATGAAGAACCCTCAACATCCATGGAGCCTAAAGGTTCTTTATAGCAGAAAAAAAGCTCTTTAGATTTGTAAAATGTTATTTTAAAAATTAAGAAAAATGGTTCTTTTATGACTTTTTTTCATTGAAAGGTTCTTTGGGGAAGCATATATGTGACCCTGCAGCACAAAAGCAGTGTTAAGTCGCTGGGGTATATTTGTAGCAATAGCCAACAATACATTGAATGGCTCAAAATTATCCATTTTTCTTTTATGCCAAAAATCATTAGGATATTAAGTAAAGATCATGTTCCATGAAGATATTTTGTAAATGTCCTACCGTAAATATATCAAAACGTAATGTTTGATTAGTAATATGCATTGCTAAGAACTTCATTTGGACAACTTTAAAGATGATTTTCTCAATATTTAGATTTTTTTTGTACCCTCAGATTCCAGATTTTCAAATAGTTGTATCTCAGCCAAATATTGTCCTATCCTAACAAACCATACATCAATGGAAAGCTCATTTATTCAGCTTTCAGATGATGCATACTTCTCAATTTCACAAAAGTGACCCTTATGACTGGTTTTGTGCTCCAGGGTCACATATAATGTTGCTCCAGACATGGTTACGGTCTTGACGTGATTGAGGCGTTTCTGTTGTTTTTCAGTTCGGTGGACGAGCTGCAGGCGTCTGCGCACATGAGCCGCTCCAGAGCCGAGGATGTTTACCGCTGTCTGCGCTACAGCTGCGATTCGGCTCTCATGACTAACCAGCTCTAACTTATACTCAGCACTTTAATGCATTATGGATTTATTTTTATGAATAATCAGGATTATATCGTCCTTTTATGTGACGTAAATATTTTCCGTTTAGGAAAGTTCTGCACATCAGATTATGAATGTTGCCGTTACGGTAATTCTGAAGTATTTATGTTTACAGGTAATAGAGACTCTGTGTGAGCAGGAACTACTTTGAGAAATAAAAGAGCTTCATCTTTTTGATAACCGCTCGTCTCTTTTCTCCTTCAGTGTGTTTGAGATCATCAGGTTTGTTTGTGGTGTTGAGCCACTAGAGGCCGCTCTTCTCCACTGAACCTTCATCACGGCTCTGATCTTCCTCTCCATCATATAATCTGTAGTGTGTTCCAGTCAGTCTGAACATGCGGAGACTCAGGAGTAACCTGCTATCTTCACATTCATTCATGAGTGTTTGTGAGTTCATCGTCAAGACAGTTAACCGTTTAAATGCCCCATATTTTGTGAGACAAATATGTTGAAGGGTAGAAGGTGTGTGACTGTTGATCTGTGTGTAACGCTGTTCCCTTGAGCTTCATGAATCAAAAACACTGATGATCAGTCATCAATAATCTGCCTATGAAATCCCTCATAGTATTTAAATTCATAAAAATACCGGAGAACGACAACAAATGATGCAAATATATCGTATATACAGGAATATGTCGATTACAGGCATGTCAGGAACTAGTCACATGTTTAAGGTGCATGTAAAGATTAAATAACGATTACAAAATGACTCTATGTATGTAAACATGTAGGACCATGTGACCGTTTCTCCAACAGTCTTTCAAGATCATCTGCAGCTCTTGCGGTCTGAGAGTCCCTGCATTCATCTAGTTTCACTAATCGGGATTAAAATCGGGAAATCAACTTTGCATTTAAGGTTTACTTTTATGTCTAAATGGAAAGTCTCAAAGTTTGTACCTGACACAAGATTAACATGCACTTTCAGAAAAAATTTGTACTTATAGGGTTGCAACAGCTTGCCACTGTAACAGAAGTCAAGTTTGCACTTTATTTACCCCTAAGAAGTGCATATATAAGAGCACATATTGCTATTCTAAGGTACTAATATTTACTTTTATGCATTTGGCAGACACTTTTATCTAAAGCGACTTACATTGCATTCAAAGTACACATTTACATTTCATCAGCTCTTGCTTTTCCTGGGAACTGAAGCCATGACCTTGAAGCCTTATGACTTGTATAATATTCACCTTTTAGGTGTAAATAAGGTACAGATTTGTCCCCTGAACAGTTCTGTCCCAGTCACATGCTGTTGCATCGTTAAAGGTACATTTTTGCACATTATTTTGGACCGTGTGGGAACGGGATAAATAACTTGCAGACGTGTCACAGTTCTCTCATACGAGATCATTGAGGGACATTCTAAAAGGCTTAATGAGTTAAGACGGTGTTTTTATAAGACCAAACTCTGTAAACAGGTTATTAATAAATCATACTATGTACAGACAAGCAGATGAGTCCAGGATACGAACGCAATGCGTTTAATAACACGTTAAGCGTTTTCTTTCCATAGGAAAACATCAATGTGGATGCATTAAAACTGTGTTTTATTATAGGCTCTGCTTGTCATTATATAGTATGCTTTATTAAAAAAGTTTTGTCTTTCAAAAACACTGTCTTAACGCATTAAGCCACATTAAGCGTTTTCTTTATAATGTTATATGGGAGGAAAACGCTTAACACCTAATTAAACGTATTGCGTTCGTATTCTGGGCTCATCTGCTTGTCTGTAATTAGTATGCTTTATTAATGGGTTTACTGAGTTTCGAAAACACTGTCTTTAAGCCACGTTAAGCGTTTTAAAATGATCCCATCGTCGATGTCCAAATCTCCTGCGGTACGTCGCTCTGGTCCTTCATCAGCGTCAGGCGTTTCTACAGATGCTGGTCTGGGAATCCTCGAACCCAGTGGACACTCATTCATCCCAATAATTCAGCGGTACGGTCCATTAAACATAAAGTGGTTAAGATAATGTAAGGTCATTGTTCAGCCTTTGCGTTTGCTGACCTTTTCTCTCTTTATTAGACAGAGTCTGGAGTCAGGAGGAGGTTTATCGGGGCAGTGAATCTGTGGTTTCCATCTCAAGAAGATTCAAGTCTTCAGATCTTCGAGTCACAGGCTGCTGTGCTGCAGGCTCGGCTGCATGGGTTCGCAGTCCTTCATGCTGTCGTCGTTCTCGCGCATGTACATGAGGAAGAGTGTGACGGTGGCGAATGTTGTGGCGTTGACGGGAAACGCTCTCAAGAGAGTCGACGTCAGGCCTCGAGTGAAAGTTCTCCATCCTTCCCGCCGCCAGCTCTGACGGACGCAGTCCACGATGCCGTCGTACCTGTTGGCTCCGCCCACTCCGTCCGCCTGGAGGCGGGACTTGATGACGTCCACGGGATAAGTAGAGATCCAGGACGCCATTCCCGCCATGCCACCCGCCAGGAGCAGCTTGGGAATGATGTAGTCGGCTTCGGCGTCGCAGCCCAGTGTGCGCGTCAGCGTATCGTAGGCGAGGAAGTAGACGCCGAATCCAGGCGTCTCGCGGATGACGGTGGTCACCATTCCTCGGTTTATTCCTCGGACTCCCTCCTTCCGGTGGATGCGGATCAGGCAGTCCAGAGAGTTCCTGTACATCTTCCTGGAGGCGCTCTTCTCGCCCGTTCCCTGCATCTGCATGCGGGTCTTGGCCAGCTCCATCGGGCAGCAGATCACACACTGGATGAATCCGGCCGCCGCGCCCGCTAGGAACTGGTGCAGAGGCGTATCCGTGCCCAACACTCGCATGGCGTTTCCCTGCATGCCGAAGACGATGGCATTGATGAAGGTCAGGCCCATCATGGGCGAGCCGATGCCCTTATAGAGGCCCAACATCTGGAGTCAAACGAGAAACAAAGACAGTAGCTATGTTTACATCCACCTATTTTTATGTGCATTTTGGAATATCGCATAAAAAAAAAATGCTGGATGGAAACGCCAAGATGTGCATAAATTCTCAAAATAAGCATAAAAAACTTATGCCCTCAACTAAGTAAGATAAATGTCTTATCCGGTAAGAAAACATGCTCATAAACTACAATGGAAACACATTTACGAAATAAGTTCCACCTTGCGGTAGTTAAATTCACATCTTTGGGTGTGAAGAGTTAATGTCTAGAGAACCCAAAACCCCTCGTCTCTGCACCTGCGGACAAGTATAGATGTTCCCCGTGCTAAATTTAGCTCCGCGTGCTTGTTCCTGACGTCTCGGGTATCTCCTGTCAAACATCTCAGCGTTACTGAACCTCGAGCACATGCACTTCTAATCAAATCAGCATCGTTTGATGAATTCATGTTCCTGGAGATGGTACGCTCCTGACAACAAAGCTTCCAAAATGTGGTTTTCACAGTAATGCCATAGAAAAACCATTTTTGGTTCCCCAAAGAACCTTTCAGTGATCAGTTCTTAAAAGAATAATTTTGCTTAATCTTTAAAATAGCATACTACAAATTTAAATAACCCTTTAAAAAAAAAAAAACACCTTTACGAGGGAAAATGATTCTATGGATGTTAAGGGTTCTACATGAAACCACCAATAAAGAACTTTTATTTTTAAGAGTGTAGAACTGTTTTTGGTTTCACTAACCAGGATTAAAATCGTGGATTTAACTTTTTACGTTATCTTTGCATAGAAGGTTTACTTTTATGTTTAAATGGAAAGTCTTAAATTAAGACCAGAACTCTTAAAGGGATAGTTCACCCAAAAATGAAAATTCTGTCATTAATTACTCACCCTCAAGTCGTTCCAAACCCGTAAGAACTCCCTTATTTTAATTTTCTTTGCGCACAAAATGTATTCTTGTAGCTTCGTAAAGTTACGGTTGAACCCCTGATGTCACATGGACTATTTTAACAATGTCCTTGCTATGTTTCTGAGCCTTGATCGTGTTAGGATCCTTGCTGTCTATGCAGGGTCAGAGAGCTCTTGGAATTAATTAAAAATATCTTAATTTGTGTTCTGAAGATGAACAAAGGTCTTACAGGTTTGGAACGACATGAGGGTGAGTAATTAATGGCAGAATTTTCATTTTTAATAAGACAACTTTGCACTTTATTTACCCCTTTAAAAGTGCATAGCAGTACTTTAAGAGCACATATTGCTACTCCAAGGTACTAATATTTACATTTATCTCAGCGTTACTGAACCTTGAGCACATGCACTTCTAATCAAATCAATATCATCTGATTCATTCATGTAGCACCTAATTAATTCATGAAGCAACTTGCAGTGAACAGTTGTTTAAAGAACTATTACTGTGAAGGACATTTTAATGATCTAAAGAACCATTTTCCACTATACACTTTTAAAAATAAAGTTTCTTTATTGGTGTAGATGAACCTTTAACATCCGTGGAACCTTTCCATTCCAAGGTTCTTTAAAGTGGAAAAGGTTCTTTGGATTATTAAGATGTTCTTCACTTTTAGATCTGTCCACTTGTAGGTTCTTTGGGGAACCAAAAATGGTTCTTCTATGGCATCACTGAAAATCCCCATTTGGAAACTTTTTTTTTAATCCAATATGAAGATTCCATAGATGCTAAAGGACAATTTTTTTAGTGTCTTAATTTTTCATCAAAATTAGTTCCCCCTCTGAAATGACTTTCTCTTTTCAAGAAATCGGATAAAATTATTGATACACTGCAAAAAAAATGCTTATCTTAGTATGTTTGCTTGTTTCTAGTAAACAAATAAAATTATCTGCCAGTGGTGTAAGTAAAATATTCTTAAAACAAGAGAATTTTACTTACCCCACTGGCATATAATTTTACTTGTTTTAAGTAGTTGTTTTGCTTACCAAGTAAATGCATCTTAATAGGGCTGCCCTCGACTAAGGATTTTTCTGGTCGACTAGTAGTCGTTCATTTTAAGCATTAGTCGACTAATCGCACGTTTATTAATAAATCATTATAAAGAGCCTTTAATTGCCTTCATAGCCTAATAAGCGCTCAAGCGCACACATAAAGCTTGCCACAGCGCACCGCAGAAGCTATGATTATGAATGTGTCCACCTTAATGCAAATCAGTGAATCGCCCAATGGCAAATCCAATAAATACAACTTCATCTGTGGTTAAGGATTCCAGCTCACGCTTTCTGCTTCACTAGACTTCCATTTGCTGATTGGCTATAGAAGAACTGATGTTGATACAGGGACTATTTAAATCAAGGGTAAATGCATATGCAAATAGGGAGCCCGCCAATTGCTTTTAAACAGAACAGTCAGC